GCCATGTTTTCTCACTAGTTTTCGAGTATTTTTGTGTAAAACACCCAGAAATGTCACGGAAATTTACATGATCTACACTTTGTCCGGATACTTTTGGCAGGTGAGTGTATGTTTTTATATATTTCAAGGTCAATTGTGACCTTTAAAGCACCAATCAAATGTCAACAATTTTTATTTAAGAGATTATCTCCCTTTTTTCAAAACAACAAAAACCAAAAAAAAATGGATTTAGCTCTTCCAAATCACGAATCAAAGATTGTGTCAATAATTAGCTATTTATTTAACACAATTCCGGAAATATCAAATATTTCCTTTAATAATGGAATTTTCACCATATTTAAGAAATGTTCCTCAAGCAGACTTAACACAGTAAAAGGAAAAATCAATTCAAATGTAAGTTATTAGTAATTTGAAATATTTAAAGCAAAAGCAATATAGTAATTATAATTTGAGATATTTAATGTAAAAACAAAAGAGTAAATAAATACATATAATTTTTTCTAGGTTGATATTCTGTATACTGAGGAGGAATTGAATGAGATTTTGGTAAGTAATGAAAATTGATGAGTAAATTGTAATTGATTCAAATTGTATATTTAACATTTATTTTTAAAATATTCTTAGAATTCAAAATTTGTAAGTGATTAGAAAGGACATACATTTATTATGTATTTAGAAATAATTTTTATTTACTGTGTATATCTTTATTTTAAATTCAATTTTTATAGAATTTAAACATATTAATAATTACTATAAAATTTTACATGATGTAGGTAAACAAATATATGTTATAAATATGTTTTTAGAGAATTTTAAGGTTAATTAAATAAATTTTGTAATCAAATTTTTAGAATGGTTTAAAAAGAACAAAAAAAAAAGTAGGCTTGTTAAAGCATCTAAAAATGAATTTGATGATGAACTATTCTCCCAGAACATGGAAAATAAAATATTGTACAGAGTTAATAATAATTCTGAGCAAAACAATTCTAATATAAATTTTGATATGTTAAATAGTAATATGAGTATTTAAAATGAAGAACAAAATTGCTATGATAAATCAAATGCAAAAAATCTGAATTGGAATATATTAGATAGTGATATAGATAATACAAATATTGGAAATGAAGAACGAAATTATTATGATAAATTAAATGCAAACAAGCTTTTTTATTATTCGTAGAACTTATTCTTACATCACTAACATTCCCTAAATTTGAATTTAACATACTGCTCACGTTACTTGATAAAAATCATTTTTATGTCCATTACACAATATTATTATTTGAATTATTGTTGAATGAATGGAATATATTATGTATGACGAGTATTATTATTGAGAGAAGAGTATTAAGTAGCCTTTAAAATAAAATAACCTTTATTTAAAAAAAATATCCGTATTAACTATAATACATATAAATTTATTGGTAAAATAGTAAAACAAAATAATTATTTTTGTAATTTTATTATTTATCAATTATTTGAAATACTTCTAATTCATCATATTTACTACCATGTGTTATATTAATGTTATTATATGACCTACTAATACTGTAAATGGAGCTGTCTGGTTTAAAAATAAGATCACTGCCACCAAAACCAGCTAAATTTGAAGAATGGCACCAAATTGCATGCTCATAATTATTATTAGTAACATAACTAAACTGTCCAGAATTAATGTCATTTCTATTACCAATGTTAAAAATAAAACTTTCAGTTGTACTCTTAAATATATAATTTCCATTATATAAATTCCAATTAAGTGGGTTATAACCTCCTACTAATTGATCTGAATTTTGTATTTTGCCAACTACAAGAGTTTTATTGATATTATCACATTTTTG